ACCACCATAGACGGTGTTTTGTCTTTTTTGCTAGCAACATTCACAAGGTAAATTGTTCAAGCTTTACCTAATTTTGCTTTGATTTATTACATTTTGACCAGTATCACTTCGTTTGTAACGTAATGCTGTGAGGTGAATAGATAGGATTACATCTCTAGTTGTTTTATTTTTTATGTCATTTAAATGGTTACTTTCACTATCCAGTGGCTGTAATGTTCCTTGAGTACTTTGCTGTTTTATCATATTCAACATGTGTCGATATCACATATCAATTCTATAACTGATTTGTAAGCTCTTTATTTAACATGATTATGTTCTATAAATGTACATATCGATTGCATTGCGCAACCTTATTTCTCAGAACTAACTGGCTTCAGCTGTTTAGAGATTATATTGAGACGCTATGATTTTTGTTATACACTCGTTCGCACTGCTCATGAGCCATTTTTTCCGAGGCAAAGGAACATGAAGTTACGGTCATTTGAATTCATGATAGTGCCTTCAGCAAGAGATGTGACTCCTTTACGATAAATGTTGTTCTGTTATTAGCGTTACATAAGAGACGTGATCCCTAAACGTACTTACGACTCTTGCGTAATTCCGTATCACATCGAACATTTCCCCTCAGTGTTCGCAAAGAGACAAAGAAGAATTACAAACTAAACAATTTGGGTTATCTCTCGGCGTTGGCTACTGCAGAAAGATGAGTGCATTATTCTGTGCGTCAAATGATTGGGCATCAATGGTGCTTTAAATGAGCGACCATAAGCCACGAAATGTATGAGCAATTCGTGCGATCTCTTTTCTCACTGTGCATTAGATTTAATAAGAAAATATGGTTGGTCAAGAGCATAAATCAATAAACTTGACACGATAACCCAATGTTGGTTTACCATGTCGAGTTCAAAGTCTGCCTAGTTTCCAGGCTCCTCGTCCAAGTAATGTTCGCAGACTTTTGCGAACTCAGAGAGGAGTGTCCTCTTTGGCAGATTGTTTAAAAAATTTTATGATAAAACACTTATTGAATTCAGTCTTCGCATGATATCATAAACTATCAAACCTAGTGCTTGTGTTATCTGCCTCAGCTTTGGTTTCGACAGATGATTCAGACCTCATTATTTTTATTATCACTATTATAATTATTATTATTACCACTATTATTATAGTCATTAATATCATTATTATTATTATTATTATTAATATTATTATTATATTCCAAACGAAACGCCGGCGATCTTTATAAGCTCTAAGTGCACTTTACCCGAAACGCCTTGCAATGGTTTCGAAAATGTACGCATGTTTTCTTTGACTGACTGATCGTTTGAACGTTGATTGCAACAAACGACAAACGAACCAAACCTTATCAACCTCAAAGTATTTAAAAAAAAAAGGTTTTATTCATCTTTAAAAGCTTGAATTTGAGGTCGTGCAATACACAAATTCTGTTTTCCACTTTCTTGCACAAAGTTGTCATATAATGGTTCAAGGCTGCGAGCTATAAGCTCAATACGGACACATCGTAGTCACGCCTGTAAACTTATTTACTCTTAGTGTCTTAAAAAGACAGGGCTTCTTGATGACGGGAAGAGAGGGACACGTTTTAAGTTACGTTTTACTGGCAATATTAGAAAATTTAGTAGTTTTCACGTAAAGTAGTCACTTTTAAGAAGGGTCTAGTCGAGCAACTTTAAGCGTTGAAATACTCTTTTTCTGTCCAAGGTTTTTTATGGCTACCGCAGCACCGACAGGTTCTTCAACAAAGGAGACTACGAACTACGCTCGTTTGTGTCGTCTGCTGGTTGATGTTGGTACCCAGGCCCTCAGGGACACATTTGATGCCATCCATCCACCGACAAATCTTCGCACAATTTCGACGGTCAATAAATCCACCTTACAGTCCTTGAGAACAAGAAAGGTTATAAACGCGACGCAATGGGGAAAGCTTTTTCCAGCCATCCCTACTTCAGTTTCATCGGCCAATTTCGACATCACGCTTTTAATGATTCTGTTGCGAAACATATGCGGCTTACCTTCTCCCGCGGCAGGCTGGGATACACTTTCTGCCGCAACAGATGTGAGTCGTGAAGCTGATATCACTCGTGTTAAATATTACAGAAACTTTGTGTACGGTCATGCCGAGTGTGCTTCAGTTGATGACTCTACGTTCAACATATATTGGGATGACATACGGGAAACTCTGGTGAGACTTGGAGGGGAAAAGTACTAGGCAGCCATTGACAATCTTGAAACTGATTGCATGGACCCTGAAGTTGAAAAACACTGCAAAGAACTTCTCAGCCAATGGAAGAAGGATGAAGAGAACGTTAAAGATAAATTGGATGAAGTCATCAAAAAGCTGGATGATTTGAAAACATCAAGTTTGCCTCGAAAGAAGGAATCTGCGACCGAAGGTTAATGAAGCTTTAGTTTTACTACTTTTGCCTGTTCTAAGCCTGTATATGGCAATGGTCTACGATCTGTAACAACGTAAAAGGCCAACTGCAAAGAGAGGAAAGAGAAAAGAGTGTTTCGTTTAGTTTTACACCCCATTCACACCAGAGCTTTATACATGTTTTCAAGTTGTTTTGTAAAACACGAATTAATTTTTTCATAGAAGCTACGTAAACACGTTTGTTTTTCGACTTCATACAAGTTATTGGCTACTTGAATCCTATAGAATATTCAGTTCTACAGTTCGCTGTTTCTGATTTTCTTTCTTTCGCTTAACTTCGCTTACATGTATACGTAGGTACTAGATATATATCACGAATTATATGCTTAATGCTAAGCTCAGGTTTGTTTCAAACATCGGCATTAACTTTTTGCTCATCGGGTTTTTATTCAAGTAGAAAATGTTCACAGTATAGTTTTACTGGATGGATACATGCGCTGTCTTTATCCCAGCAAGGCACGTGCAAAGCCCTTCAAAATGCTGACCTCTTCCCCAAATACACATGTTAACGGTTGCGTTATTTGATTTCAGTCAGTTTTAAGCTATTTTAGTTTTTTTTGAATGAGTCAAATTTATCAATTTATTTCGAAATGGTTCTTTTACACTCGAATTGGTTTGCTTACAAAAACTCACAGCTTTATGATATTTCAAAATCACTCATAACTTCGAATTTTTTATTTGCATATTCATAAGGTGAGTCCACTGTGCTGGAGCGGCTGTTGGAGAACTCTGCGATGTGTAGAGAAAAAGGCCACGAGACCGAACCTCTGGATCGCTATTGTAACAACTGTAAAGTTTCCATTTGCGACAGGTGTGGAGAGACTCGTCACACTCATCACACCAAAGTTAGTATCCAAGAGGCTGCTGAGGAAGAGAAACTGATGTTGGAAGAGACTGTTGAGCAAGTGAAAATGCAAATTGTTGACCTTGGGATAAAAATGAAAACAACGACAGAACTGTTTACAGTAAGTAAGAAAAAATAGCCAAAGCTCGTAAGAATGTTTAGACAACAGTTGAAAAACTCATTCGTGTATTGAAGGGGCATGAAAGGACCGTGTTGACCGAGTTAGACGTTATTGAAAAAGCACAACAGAGAGATTATTCAACACAGCTAGAACACTTGCAGGCATCTGTGAACGAATTAAAAAGCTCTGTGAAGAATTGCAAGGAAGTCCTACGAAAAAACGTCTGCGTCGAAACTCTACAAGCACAACATGATGAAATTGAAAGGTGTAAAGGTGTCCTAAAAGCACTAAAAGAGGAGATTTATAAGCCATGTCACCTTCGCTATCAGACAGATGAGGAGTACCACAAGAGGTTGACAGGTTCTGCTCCTGGTGAAGTTCTTGTTGAAGCCCCTTTGCATTTTTCTGCCACGGCAACCAAGAGATTATCTTCCACCCACACTAGGTGCACCCTGATGAAATGAATCTGCATTACCTCTTGTGCTCAGCAAGACAAACCAAAGCTGAAATAACATACCATGTGGAATTCCTTGCTAGGATAGAACTTTTTTAAGTCATCTTTTATTCTGGAAATCCAGTCTCTTTCACTAACTGGACATTCCTAAAGAAAAAATTGGCAAAATAAACAAACAATAACTCTCTTGTGTACAAGGAAAGATTGAAATTTACATTTGATGAGCATCCTGCATACTGCTAAAATCATTTCTGTTGAAAGCCCCTATTGTGTTCACAATGAATAGTTTGCATATAAATTTTGCTTTGTTTGTTATCCCTCACTCAGTTAAAGGGCTGATACTCAAATTATTTATTTAAGTTTTCTGCAAGTGTTTATTTATCCTTAAGCTAGAAAGATGCAAAATATGATGCCAATTCAATGTCCTACCTATGATAAAAAAAGTACATAACCCTCATAATTTTTTGTGGGTAAAAAGGCATTGGGTACCAAAATACTGTCTATGGAAAATTGTAAGCTTCATATCTCTTGATAAACATGATCTCATTGTAAAAGTTCGTTTGAAATATATGATGCACTGATTTCCTTAACAACCACTGATAATGTAAGGGAATAAATCAAATAATATTTTCACCAGTCTGATAAAACATTTTAGGTCCATAAATACCTGTGTTCCAATTGCATAGATATCATGAGGAAGGAAAGTCATGGCTTCATCCAGTGTCTTGCCACTACCTTGGCATTTGAGCCAGGATTTGATATCAAGAGGAGGATTTGCATTACCTGAAAAATGAGGCATCTTCAATTAATGTTTACCCAAATGACTTCTCTTATTTTATTTTGCGAAAAGAGGAAGATCTTGGGAGTCTATGATGTCAAGAGCATGCCAGACTCTTCAGACTCAGTTGGACACTCCTAAGATTATGTAGTCTTTGTTAGATGAATTGCAATTCTTTGTCCAGAATTTTAAAATGTAGTACCTAAAACAAAGTTAAACAAATGGTTTGAGTTACAGTAGCTTCAGAAATGGATCAGATTGCTAAATTTTTGAACCTACATCAGACGCTAGACTACATTTAAGCCGTTGTTATGAACTGTTAATTAAAACTTTTCATCTCACAATTGTCCTTTAGTCTTGCTCAACATTACGATGTATTGTCATGTGACCAGAACAAACAATGCTCTCCTTTCCTTTCAGCTCTGACCGGCAGTATTTGTTCACGTGATTACTTGCCTGTAAAACAAAGGAACACACGGAGAAAGTCAAAGAGGGATTAATTCAAAGCAGGTTTTTAAGAAAGAATCCATTCATCAGGTCGCTATGATCAAGGCAAACACCTTGAATGTGATTTACGACATTCATCGTGTAACGCGGCGGTTAGAGTAACAAGGTTCAAAGAAAGGAAGTGATTAGACTGGAATTAGTAATTCTTGAGAACACAGCTGAACTGTTACTGATCTGTAACATAGTGCCCTCTATGCTCTACAGGTGATAAACAAGTAATTGAAAACGTCCTCGTGCAATTAAAGATTAATTTCACCTGTACTCTCACAGTTCTACAAATTGCCTTAGGGCAATTTTTTGAGAACTTCGAAAATCCTCGTGCAATTAATCCTTTTCCTGCCCTTGGACCCATGCATACAGCAAAAGTAGCTCTTCCTCCATTAGAAAAGGTCAAAATAGCGGAGAGTTAATCTGTCATGAGTTAGCCCCTATCAATGAGGATTCAAGCAATGTTTGCACTTGCATCATGGTACAGAAACCGCGGTAAACTACGGTTTGGTTGGTCCACCCTCGCCCACAAGTTATCTCACCTACAAGTCAACTCGCATACGGGTCGGTATACAAGTTGGTCGCGTGTATACAAGCATTTGTAATAAAGGGGCGTCAAGTTGACAGACTGTTCGTATTTAAATTCCTATCAAACGGTAAAATCCTTGTTAGGAGTCACAGGCCTATGTGATTGAGGTTACCAACGTTATCAACTTTAAAAAAATTAACTGTTTGAAAGCACACTTCAGCAAACGCACAACAACGTAAAATCGAAAATATTCCCCGTTTTCTTAAAATAAAATGTAATTGCATCTGATGGTTATCAGAAAAGAAAAATAAGGCTGAAATGGGATAGAAAATTAACAAGAGTAGCTGATGTCCCACACAAAAGCTAGCTTAATCTTAAATATCAAAGATGGACAAACTAGTCAAACTATGTGATATAGCTGCCCTTTAGGCTCTCAATTTAGTTTGTAACCACAACATATGGATCGTTTAAGAAGTTAATGATTGCAAAGCAGCAAAATACTGAAAACAGAATTTTGTCGATTGTAATTAAGTAACACATGCAGTGACAAACTGAATAATAACGTTCTCATTCACCACTAAGCGTACCTTGCTTCCAACTAAAAGTTCTTCAGTTTCAAAGTCAATTTCATTCGATGTTAATGTACAGTTGTCACCACTAGTCTTCATAACATGTTTAAACACCTGTGATTGAATGAATATGTATCAATATACAAGAAATAGTCGTATTTAGCTAAGTCTGCACTAGGGCCAAATTAATAACTAGTAGACAGTATATCAGCTAGTTGTTTCATGATTAGGCCATTAGTACTAAATTCAAAACCTTCAGTGCATTTAGAACTGTGTAGCATGCCTCCAGTTTGACTGCCTATGGCTGTGCATATTGGTCCAATTCTTGGGGAATTACACATTTCAAAGTATTGTTAATCACATATAATGCCAGTTCCATGCTGCTGATTCTGAAGGTATTTTGATACATAAGGCATATCCACAGCAACCTTTTTTGATGCTGTAATGGTTACACTTGTAACAGTTACATGTCTTGCCCTGAATATGATGAAGCCTGTATGATGAGAACCCCATTAAGGGGGGGACTTTTACTGAGAGCTTGAGATTTCTTTGTATTTAACCACAGTTAAGATTACAGATCTCTTACTTTTATTAGTATTACACTTACTCTGACCAATAGCTCAGGGTCATTCTGTTGTAAGCTTGTTGATCATTCACTCTATCCTATTTGGGTTTTAAACCACTGTTGTGCAATTTGAAAAACCATAGGTGGCTTAAAATGGTTGGGCATTTTACTGAATTGCCAATTTACTGAATTTACCAATTTCAAGGAAGCATATTTTTCTTTAATCTCATCACTTGTTTGCTTCATATGGTATTATATAGATAATGTAAGAAGAAATTATGTCTTGGTCACTCACAGGAGTTAAAGGGTTCACTTTAGAGAATGGTGATGCAAGACCAGGATCAAACTGGCACTTTTGCTCCAGGGTTTAGCACTGATGACTGGACCAATAACACTTGAATAATATAACACTTTCTCAATGTGGTTGTTCTACCAAAAAATCACTACCACTGATTTTAACAGGATGACATGTGAAAGCAATTAATTCTGACTCACCATTTCTTCATCAACTTGCCGGTCAATAATAGTAATCATGTAAAATAATGGTTCTTCTTCAAAACAGCATTCAGCAAACCCTTCCTCTGGTGGGCCACAAGCTGTTGAGAATTAATTTCATTGCATATCAAATAAATAAAAGTAAAATACATTGATATAAAAACATCTTATAATCGTCATTTCATAAGCTAACCACATCAATGGCCTGACAGGCTGAGAAATTATAATATGTTGCTCTCACAAAGTGGGAGTGACAAATACCTGCAGCCTGAGAGAATTATAGCGGAAATAACAGCAGCTAATAACTGCTATTTGCATGAACATGAATTGGATATTAATTGGTGAATATCAAATGAAGTGCTTGGCACTGTATTCGCTTAAACCCAGGTCCACTTTGTCAAAAAAATCAAAAACTTCTTAAACTATTGAGAATTACAGTCTCAATAAAATTTCAACAATTTTTGCAGGTCATGTCTATCAAAGCTTGAATGGTGAAGTTTGAGTGTTGCACGGTGGTTTCTATGTCATTAGCTGAAAAAAAAACCATAATTTAATTTGCTATGTTACATAGTTATTACAGTCTTATTTCAGGCTAAAAGGTTTAGAAATTCCTATGCTGTCTAACTTATAATGTGTAATGGCCTCATTTAAACAAAAGCTTGCAAGGACTGTAAAGAGTGGGCTATCTTTAGTTTATCTGTCACAAAGTCAGGCCTGTAGGCACAGCACAGGATCAAAAAGAAAATGCTGGATAAATGTAAAGGCCTTCAATGTACCATGCTGGACAAAAAATAGGATAAAAATGATATAATGGTAAACATTTGACCTAGTGATTTTTATAAAACTGGTACTTCTGTATTGAGTAAAATCTTTTATTGGACAACTTGCTCAGGGCTTCATGATTTCTTAATTTTTAATTGCTTACCTTCACCCATAACACCATACTGTTTTTTATCCCTGGTTAGCAGTGTACCCTGAGATCAGCAAAATCAGCACAGGTTTATGATACACCATAAACACTATAGACTGATTGTACCTATTCTTGAAATTTGAGCGAAAATTTAAAAAGCTCATCCCAAACCACAAAGCCTATTAACCTTACTAAAGTTTTCAGATGATCTAATACAGATGACATTTACTCTTACAAGTGCAATACACATTCAAAATTGCAATCATTATCACTGAAAAGATACGCATTTATGTCATGTTTACAAAGTAACACTGTCGGTGCACTCCAACAATGGTAAAGTTTCATATCCCATAACTGATTCAACCTCTTTATATCATACAGCTAAATGGGCTGCTTCAAAATTTCAATACAGGTTACCTTTTAATCTACCATTTAGAGAAGTTCTACTATGACTAATAGACAAACTCATAATCCATCAAATATTTTTGCTTGCACACAATTAGTCTAACGTATAATGTGATTGAACATAACCCAGCTAAAACTGGGAAATATCCAAGGATACACCCCAATTTTCAAACAATACATCTCTTATGATAAAGCATCTTGTGTTTAAAATTTAACTCAAGATGAAAGAGCATTTAGCGACTGTTACAGAAGATGGGATGTGTTTGTTTGTTCATGAAGTCATACCACAAAACACTAAAAAGGTTAACATCCCATGCAGAAAACAGTTAGTTGTTCATAAACATTTTTCGCATGTGCTTCAAAAATATTTGAAGGAAAAGAAGAGCCTATATTACTAAGCATGGAAACTGCCTCGTTGCTCCATGGGGGAGGGGAGGGTTAATTGAGAGAGTTGGAGTCGTCAGTCGTCAGTCTTCAGTGTAATATTGAGAGAAGAAGATAACCTACAATCTCTCATTTAAATAGAAAGTGCAGTGGATATCAAGATCCAAATTCACGCTACTCATCGAGGAACGGGGAATTACAGAGGGACATGTGCATAAAGCTTATCTCATATTCTTGTTTCGTCGATCTTGAAAAGACCCTATGGGCTCTGACCTGAACCATTAAAGGAGAACTGAAGTCCAAATTCATGTAATTTTTTTCACCACGTATCGTACATTTATGTATGATGGAACAAATTTCCGTCATTTTTTTTCCCTCGAACGACAGTTTTCATCCAGAAAACGAAGGGTTTTTAGTGATAATTGGCTCGATATTTGACTGCGGAACGTCGGCTCAGAACACGAATGTCAGCGGTTCTTTTTGTAGCGTGTGACGTAGGTTATGGGGATGAAGGTAAACACGGCAAGAAACAGGCAAGTTGAATTCAGGACTGCGGCTTGCTCGCGGGAAAGAATTTGTGGTTTTCCAGGAGTAAAGATTGTGCAAGGCGAAGCAAAAAATGATTTAAGCGCCTCTCATATTAGAAAATTGGTCTCCTATCCAGGGATTGTGTAAGAGAAAAATATTGTGGCTTTCGTAACCCTGTGTCTCCGAAACGTAGTTACGTGTCCAGATCATGTGCGGCGCATCTTTTATACTTGGATTGACCTCGATGTTTTCGGAATAGGGTCTTCACTTTAATTTTTCTTACATACTGGTAATTTAAGATATTTCATCTTCCATTCTGTTTCCCATATTTTGTTATTTACCTTTTTTTAACATTAGTTTGCAACGCGTTCGTAGTCTGGATTTTGCAATGGCATGTACGATAACGCACGCTGTTAACAATGTCGCAAGAAATCCAAAAGGAAATAAAATTTTGAAATTCGTGTTGAACTTTGGTTTATAAGTTCTCTATAATGGGTTTAATTCTTGGCTTACGCAAGAAAGGATGTAAAAATACGGAAGCCCGAGTTGTTTGAGTTTATTCTTCTATCTGTTCTTGGCGATTGAGTAGCCCTCGTTGCTATATTTACTTCGATTACTTTCGAGCTTAAAAATGGTATACTGCGCGGCGTTCGATTGTAACAACGACTCGAGGTACACAACTGGTATATCCTACCATTGCTTTCCGAGGGATGAAGCTCTACGATCACAGTGACTGGCAAAAATCTCACGAGCGGATCTGGTCGTTTCGAAAAACTCCAGGCTGTGCTCAGAACATTTTACACCTGACTGCTACGAACGAGACTTGAAAGCAGAAATTCTTGGTTTGAAACCCAGATCTACGCTAAAAACCAGGTGCAATACCCACGGTTTTTTCGCATCGGAGACCATCAAAAAGACCTCGACTTTCATGGGAGAAACGTTCAGAAGAGAAAGTCAGGAAAGAAGTAAGTGAATCGCGAATTACCCTCTTGTAACTGGGTTGGGTTGTTGCAAAGCTTGGGTTGTTGCAAACTCTTGAAGCTGCTCATCATTTATGCATGATTGATAAAAAAAAATTGAAAGGTGAATACAGTTTGGGGGCAATAACAATTTATATCTTAAGGGATATCACCCGAATAGGTTCCATTGAGAAACATTAAATTTTCACAGAAAAGTATTTCTTCTCCTTAAGCAAAACAATATCCTGCCATGGAATTCCTTCTAGTTTCGTGTTTTTTTTTCTGAGTAATCTTTGTACTTCGTCTCTCCTGAAAATTTTTGACCAGTAGGTAAACAAAATTAAATTGTTTCAGAATAAAGTGATTATTATTTAATTCTAGGAACATTATACCTGTCCCTTGTTAACTAACAGGTGAACAAAATTAGTACAAATAGACTATATATGAGTTGTGGATATTATTCTTTAAATGATGAATTCTTTTAACCTTCTTTACTTCTGTGTGAATAAAAACTTAATACAACTGGAAATTCTAAGTTGAAACCAGTGCAGGCTTTCAACCAAAGGAGTGCAGGGTCAGGTGTTATATTTTCCAAGAAAATCCCATTGAATCATTGTGTAACCATATAGTAGCATAGTTTATCCCCCATACCCACATTTTTCATTCTCTCAAAGGGTCACTAACCCATACCATAACAGAGTTAATATTTTTTCTGTTATAGTATATAGCCTCCATCACTGCACAACCTAGTTGTGGAATCGAAGAACATGCAGCTTCAGCTTTAGAACAGCCTGCACCTGTTGATGTAGTGAATTGTGGAGCAAGTACATCAACCTCACACAGCCCATTATATCCATTCCCACATGATTTAGGGCCTAAAAGCACGTTGGTTGAGTCACAAACAGTGCAGGTGAATTTGCCAAACAAATGTGTGGATTTTGGGATCCAAGTCAATCTTCGTGGTCTCCATTTAATGATGAAATCTACTGACACCCAAGTCGAGGTTGATGTTTCAGAAAGCAGCACCCAGACTGAAGAGGTATTCCTTTCTGAAATTGAAGATAACAAGGAAGAAGCAACTGAAGCTGCTGCTTCCCCAAAAGTCTCTCCAAGAAAAGATGGCATCTACCTTCCCACAAAACAGGAAGATTCAGATGATTCAAACTTGTCAGGATCAGACAACGAACACCAAGGGGAAACAAAATGCGAAAAGCCACAGGATGATACCAAATACATTGTATTTAAACAAGAGCTATTTAAATTGTTTAAGTACTGTCCTGAGTGTGGTGCAGTTGTGATTAAGAGGAACCAATCCACACAAGGAAGCCAACTATTTGTCACCCTAGAATGTATGAATAATCATAAGTACTCCTGGCAAAGCCAGCCAATGCTTGAGGGGATGGCAGCTGGAAATTTGTTGCTGTCATCATCTATTTTGCTCAGTGGCTCTACCTTTACAAAAGTAGCATCTTTGGCAGATATCTTAAATTTGAAAATTTTCAGTGAGAAAACATTTTATGATATTCAAAACAAGTACTTATTACCCGTAATCAATGAGTTCTGGCTTAAAGAACAAAATTCCACTTTTTCTGAGCTAGGGGGGCGAGATCTGTGGCTTTCAGGGGATGGTCATTGTGACAGTCCCGGCCATAATGCAAAATATGGGACATATACCATGATTGATCAGAAAACTGATAAGATTGTTGACTTCAAGGTTGTTCAGGTCAGTGAGGTAAATAATAGCAATGCCATGGAAAGAGAGGGTTTTAAACCCTGTATGGAAAACATCTATGAAAAAGGGGGGAAGATTATGGTTGTTGCAACTGACCGTCACGTGGGCATTAGGGCTGACATGAAAAGAAATTTCCCTGAAGTTGATCATCAATTTGATGTGTGGCACCTTTCCAAGAATATAACTAAAAAGTTAACTGAAAAAGCAAAGAAGAAAGAATGTGCTGATCTCTCTCTCTGGATCAGATCCATCTCAAACCACCTTTGGTGGTGTGCCAAAACATGTGGGGGAGACAAGGAGATGTTGAGAGAGAAGTGGATATCCATTGTCTATCACACTGCCAATATCCACTCCTGGGATTCAGCTGACCTTTATGAGGAATGTGCCCACCAACCAATCCCTCCAGCTATCGCAAGAACTAAAAGGTGGCTTAGGCCTGGCTCCTCTGCTCATAGTGCATTGAAGGAGGTTGTATTCGATAAAAATCTGTTGAAGGACATTCAGCAACTAACACTAAGTTGTCATACTGGCAATTTAGAGGTGTACCATAGTGTGCAGACCAAATATGCACCCAAACGGCAGCACTTCTCTTATAATGGCATGGTTGCTCGAACTCAGTTGGCAGCCCTAGACCATAATGCCAACACTGGTAGACAACAAGCCACTGTATCCAGGGGTGCCAACCAAGGGGAGCTGCAATACAAGGTAGTGTTTCCAAAAAATACAAAAGAATGGGTGGCAAAGCCCATATTTGAGAAGACAACCAATTATCATCTCAAGCCAATGCTTAATGCCATTGTAGAGAGAAAATGCTTAAAACCACAAGAGAGGAGTGCAACAGTCACAGAACCACACATTCCTGAAAACATTACCAGCAAACCCCGGCCTCCTAAAGCAGATGTCATTGCTAATCATACTTCGAGATTTTCGAATAATTAAATACAACAACTTTGTCAATAACACAATCAAATGAAAATAAAAGCAATCATCGTAGCAAAAAGCAATCAAAGTTAGGTTTGAGGTTTATTTCATTCAGGCCACGCAGCTATCCCTGGCAATGTGGATAATTTAATAACTGCAGTAGGGATGACATTCGTTTGGCTCTGCATGGCTTTTGACTGAATCACTATGCAGAAATGTGTTAGTAATTCATATCCTCGATAAGTAATTGTATATTTCACGCAAATTTTAGAAAGAAACCGTAACATAAGGAAAGAAGAGCCTCCGATGTTATACACGCAAAGGATATGTTACAAATCATTATTAAAGGACATTACGGATAAAGTTCAAAGTTCCAGATCTGCTTCTCGAAACCCCACGTAATTACCACTCTCTTCTGGAAATGTTTTACGTATGGCCGTGACGACGCATGCTGGCACGATTCTCCGCCGGTTTTTTCCTAATACCTCATGTGCCCACCAAGTAAATTGTCTGTAGGCTACCAAACGCCAAGTTCTAGAGAACAAGAGGATATAAAGTCACAAAAGCGATTGACTTAATTACGCGTACAAAATAAGAAAGAAAAAGACAGTTTACCTGTTGACGATAGGGTCGGGAATTGGATTGAGCCGCGCATTGTGGATTGCAACCAATGCCGTGCTCAAAACATCCGTGTCCAAGCAAACAATACCAAATTTCGGATGTTCTGTTAAACATCTAACACCTATCAAGAAGAAAAAAGTCTTAACATTTTATTTCCCTCACTGTTTCAATAATTTTCATCCATCAAACCTTGTAATTGTAATTACAACTAAGATCGAGTTTGCAATTGTCCACCTTTTGTCACTCTTAGCAAAGAAGCGGTCGCTTCAAACAAAATACTCGTGAGAATAATCACATAATAAGTACAAACCTGAATTGTCGAACTTTTGATTAAGCTCCTCTAGTTCTTGGCAGCAGTAACATTCATTTGCCACCGGCATAAGCGCACAAGCGCCGCACAAACACCATTCGGTGTTTCCCATCCTCGAAGTATTGTCTTCTTCGTGGGCTTCTACCTCCTGTCCTACACTCTCTTCCTGAGGTGGTTCTTCTCCAGGCTGATACACTGGTTCGAACTGAAATGGTTCTATTCCGCTCATAACGAAGGGTCGACGAAGAAGCAATTTGTATTAAAACGTTGCTGAACGATAACACGTTCTGAAGTGATCCCCATAACATACGTCACAAGCTCATTTGGAAGACCGCTGATTTAAAATTGGTGCCCACGGTTTGAAAGCCGAAACAGCGCGAAAATACAAACTTTAAAGAAATATTTCTCCAAGGTAAGACACATTTAGCACAAATAACGCCTGAAATCGAGAATTTCGTCACTTTGGCTATCGAAAGAAATTAACTCAATTTTTGGCTTCAGTTCTCCTTTAAGGTCATTACTGTACATGCAACCATTTACTAGTAACTACGGAACACAGAATAAAAAAATTTGAAACAAAACTCTACCTGAAACCAAGATCCGTCGTCAAAGAAACACAAATACACCAAGCCTTCAAGCTCCACATTGGTCATAGCATTAAGGCAAAGGAAGTGCTCATATTTACCTCGCCCCAGGTTTCCCTCCTAATACGCGGTCATTTTGGGAGAGACTCGATCAGGGGCATAGGAAACAAACGGCGAAGAGAGGGCTTTACTTCAGCAGGAAGAGTTAGCAGGGAAGGGTATTCCTGTAAGGTTAATCTGAGAAAAACGGAAGGGCTGAAAAAGATTGTTGTGGATTCACTCAGAGGGAGCAGGTAGCGGTCCCCTCTACCCAAAACAATTACACTCATTCTTGGCTACCCCTCCATGTGAATTATAGCTACGCACGGCACCCGGTTTCCAATACTTCGCAATCACATTTCGTGAGCTAAACTTCAAAAGAATAAAGGGGGCAAGTTTCTAAGAAAACTGTGGTGCTGCGTCAGTGGAGGCCATAACAAGATAATTTGGTTTTACTATGTGCTAAAACAGTGGATAACTTTGAAGGCGCGCTTTGCTTGGCCACTCCAGCTGCATCCGAATATCCTTTGCTATGTACTTGCGAATAAAGTGCGCTGAATTTGCGCCCAAAAATATTTTAATCGTGGCAGGAATAAACGAAAAAAGCATCTTTTTGTGCTATGTTATCTCACTGTATTCGTATATAGTAAAACTGTTGGACGAAAGTCTGTTAATTATTAAATTAGTTGATAATGTGAATTAGCCACCGTGAAGAGTTTCTTGAGCTGAAATTTCGAGCGTTAGCCCTTCGTCAGAGCTAATGACAAAAGGATAATGCTCGAAACGTCAGATTTCAGTTGATAAAACCAAATTATCTCGAAAATTTCAAAAGTCGGAAACCCGCCTTTTAGAAGTAAGGTCTCCTCCGCTGTTTTGCCATAGGAAGCCTGGGTAGCAAACAGTACCGTCTCTTGCCATCAGCAACGATGCAGAAACCCGATGTGGGCAATTACTTGGTCACGGTGACCGACTTCCTAATTCAGGAGCACGCAGAATTCACGTTATCCTAGAATTTCATTGCTCACAGGAAGATTGGGATTGGCAGGTATGTTTGTGTAGACAATTATATATTTATTCATATATCGGTTATCTTTTTTCAACCTCATAGTCTTCACAGTATCCACTAATCAAAAGTCTCGTTCCTGATTAAAACCTCGCTTAAGTTTGATCAACTACATATGAATTACAACTTGACAACGCATAACTGAATACTAAAAGTTCCATATCAAACCTTTCGATCTCGTGTTCAAAGTTTCGTTTCTTTTCAATGATTTAGCTACTTTTCACGGGATTCAAATTCAATTCGTCGTCTTTAAGCGAACTGTTACAATGTCACGTTTACGACGGTCTCCATAACCCAAAAATCATGCAGCTGGAATACCAAAGTGACCCAATTCTTAACAAACTCGTAAGATTAAGACCGTGAACTACTTCTCATCGTTGCCTAAAAGCGGTGTGTACAAGAGCTGAGTCGCCTCAATAATAATTAGCTTTTAGATTATTCGGGTTGAATTAAATATGACCAGGTTTGAGGGAGGAGGGTAGAAACAAAATAAGCCACAAAATTTAGGAGTGAAGAGGACTGTGTAGTCTGACAAACACAGATATTTTTAGTTTGTATAATCTGATAATCCGATTACCCTTTCAGCTTCAACTACATCCAATTTTGACATGAATACGTATGAATTCCGCCTTTGCAATCACCTAAGACCCCTCATGGTGAACGAACGTTTGAATTATATCGACTATAATGTCCAATAACAATTCAGTTACAAAATACATTGTCATCGGCTCATTAAAATAATAATATAACCAACTGAAAGTGAAACTCGTAAGTTTCCATTATATAAAAGGTCTCGGGGGTTTCATGTCCGATAATCGAAAATGAACTGAGAGTTCGTGTAACCGCATCAGTTAGTCAAACAAGTCGAGCACAATTAAATTACATCGGTATTGATTTTGTTTACAAGACTTCACAATTTTCTTCCCCGAATCTGATGAAATTTGAGCGATTTAGTATACAATCTGACAGTGGCATAACGTTTAATAGACCTTTATTTTACTGTCTGACCATATTCAATAGACAACTGACTCTATAATCGATTGATCTATTTCTCCGGCCGATCAAAGTATGTTAAATTACCAATCGTTCGGTTTCACACTTCAGTAAGTTATGGAGATTTTGGCTGGGATAGACTGAGAAATGATAATAATCATAATGTTCCGAATCTAAAATCTAATAGCGAGAACTGTATTAGGCAGACCATGTTAAACAGGTACAATGCGTGAGGCGGACACTGACTGAGGTACAAACCCCTATATTATTCAATGGACTTTGACGCAAAAAATGAAACGATCTTTCTTTACGAGGCCGGTATCGATGAACAGAGAGTTCTTTTAGATATTTGAAATTCATCAGTTAAAACATTTATTAACCTATTTTTTTAGATTCCGCCAGGTACCAGTTTGCAACCAAATAAATTGCGGTGATCATTCTCTCCGGCATTTTTAACTTCTATTTAGCAAAATATACAGAAAGAGATGCCATATAAGCTATAGATTGATCATTTTGGCGGAATACTTGGGTAAGAAACCGAAAGAACCTTATCTCATGGGAGAAAGTTTAATTAATGTTCTCAGTTATCACTGTAAGACAAAACTACCGATCAAAACAAATAGCTCCTTTAAGAGGAAATATTCCGAGGTGCCGAACAGTTTTAAACGACAGGTTATATTTAGGATAAATGTGTTATAAAAACAAACAATTTCCCGGCAATTTCAAAACAATAACCTTGTACCTGCTGCAGATATTGGGTTATCATGTTAAGTTCAAAGTCTGTCCAGTCTCTAAGCTCCTCGTTCGTGTAGTGTTCTCAAATTTTTGCAAACTCAGAGAGAAGTGTCCTCTATTGCAGATTATTTAAGAAAGGTTATGATAAAGCACTTACTGAATTGGGTTTTTGCCTGAATTATCGAACCTCGTGTCTGTGTTATCTGCCTTGGCCTTCGGTTTCGGCAGATGACCCAGACCTCGGTTTTGATAATTCATGATGTCATGCTACAGCTCATCCACTAACTGCTTATTATTATTATTATAATCTCAACGAAGTGCTGGCAATCTTTGTACGCTCTAAGTGCACTTTATTTGAGATGCTAAGCAATGGTTTGGTTTACTTTGATTGATGTTCGTTTGAACGTTGATTATATCAAACGAACCAAGCTTTATCATCTTCGAAGTATTTTAAGATGACAAATTTTTTATTTCACTTGAAAAGCTTGAATTTTGAGGTAGTGCAATACAGAAATCTCGTTTTTCATTTTCCTGCATCAAAGACGTCATATATTGGTTGTAGGCTTCGAGCTCTAAATCTCACTATAAACACGTCGCAGTCACGCACGAAGCAGTTTTCACCTGAAGTATCCAGTTTTAAAAAGGGTCTTTTCAAGCAGTCCTAAGTGTTGAATTATTTTTTTCTATCCTAGGTTTGCTATGGCTACCGCAGCACCAACAGGTTCCTCGAGCAAGGAGACAACTAACTACGCTCGCCTATGTCGTCTGCTAGTTGATGTGGGTACCCAGGCCCTTAGAGACACATTTGATGCCATCCATCCACCAGCCAATCTTCACACAATTTTGACCGCTAATATTACCACCTTACAGTCCCTGAGAACAAAAAAGGTTATAAACGCGACGCAATGGGGAAAGCTTTTTCCAGCCAACCCTACTTTTGTTTCATCGGCCAATTTCGACATCACGCTTTTAATGATTCTGTTGCGAAACATGTGCGGCTTACCTTCTCCTGTAGCAGGCTGGGATACACTTCCTGCTGTAACGGATGTGAGTCTTGAAGCTGATATCACCCGAATTAAATATTACAGAAACTCTGTGTACGGTCATGCCGAGTGTGCTTCAGTTGATGACTTAACGTTCAACGCATGTTGGGGTGACATACGGAAAACTCTGGTGAGACTTGGAGGAGAAAAGTACAGAGCAGACATTGACAATCTTGAAACTGAGTGCATGGACCCTGAAGTTGAAGAACACTCCAAAGAACTCCTCAGCCAATGGAAAAAGGATGAAGAAAACGTTAAAGATAAACTAGATGAGGTCATCAAAAAGCTGGATGATTTGAAAACATCAAGTTTGCCTCGAAAGAAGAAATCTGCGATCGAAGGTTAAGGAAGCTTTAGTTTCACTAATTTTGCTTGTTCAAAGCTTGTTTATGGCAATGGTCTACGATCTGTATCAACGTAAAAGACTAAACGCAAAGAGAGCGAAGAGAAAAGAGTTTTGTTTGGGTTTTACACCCCATTCAAACTAAAGCTTTAAAAAATTTTTAAAGCTGTTTTTTGAAACACGGTGTAATTTTTTTTTCTTCATAGAAGCTGCGTACACAGATGTTTGTCGACTTAATACAAGTCATGAAAAATTCAGTTCTACAGTTCTCTGTTTCTGATTTTCATTACGTTTCACCCGGTGTAACTAAACATGTTTTGCTTGTGTGAATGGTGTTTTAATTACCTTCGCTTGATTTCGCCGATATGTATACATAGGTACTATATCACAAAAAACTCACAGCTTTATGACATTTCAATATCACTCTTTGGAATAGAACTAGAAGAGAATACTCCATAATACGCTTTATACCTCTTTATGTAAGCAAATAACCTAACTTTCACTTTGAATTTTTTATTTGTATATTTGTAAGGTGAGTCCACTGTACTGGAGGGGCTGTTGGAGAATTCTGTGATGTGTAGAGAAAAAGGCCATGAGACCGAACCTCTGGATCGCTATTGTAAGAAATGTAAAGTTTCCATTTGTGGCAGGTGTGGAGAGACTCGTCACACTCATCACACCATAGTTAATATCCAAGAGGCCGCCGAGGAAGAGAAACTAATGTTGGAAGCGACTTTAGAACAAGTGAAAATGGAAGAAGTTGACCTTGAGATGCAAATGAACAGAACGACAGAACTTTTTACAATTAGTAAGGAAAAAATAACCGAAGCTCGTAAGAATGTTTGCACAACAATTGAAGAACTCATTCGTACATTAAAGGAGCATGAAAGGACCATTTTGACCGAGTTAAATGTTATTGAAAATGCACAACAAAGAGATTATTCAATACAATTAGAACACTTGCAAGCATCTGTGAACGAATTAAAACGCTCTGTGAAAAATTGCAAGGAAATCCTACGAAAAAACGTTAGCGTCGAAACTCTACAAGCACAACATGATGAAATTGAAAGGTGTAAAGGTGTTCTAAAAGCACCGAAAAAGGAAATTTATAAGCCATGCCACCTTCGCTATCAGACAGATGAGGAGTACCACGAGAGGTTGACAGGGTCTGCTCCTGGTAGAGTTATTATTAGCAAAACCGATCCCTTAAGGTCATATTTACAATGGAGAGGCTGGGGAAAAGCTGAAGCCGGAAAAAGGATGAGCTTTGACATCATAACTGTTGATTCAGATGGGGAAAACTTTATCCAGGAAATCGATGAGATCAAAGTGAGAGTTCAGAGTCCATCAGGGCTAATGGATCTCGACCCCGAATCACAACGGTTGAGTAATTGTTATGTTCTCAAACCACTCTGTGATGGAGAACATGAGATTACAGTTTCAGTTAACGATCAACCGCTTCCTGATACTCCCCAGAGGCTCCTTGTGGCTCCATACTCTTATTCATTCACCAGTGAATTACAGCCACGTAGAAAAGTTGAGCAAGTCAAAGAACCCTGTGCTGTTGCAATACACAGTAGGACACGGAAATGGGTAGTAGTTGATCGAAAGAAAAAAAGGGTGCAAATTTTTGATGTAGATATAAAAGAACTTGGTGAGTGTGAGGCAGTGCTGAAAGACCCCACCTCAGTTGCATTCACTCAATCTGGTGATGTCATAGTCATTTCCGCTGGTGCCATGCTTTCTTTTACTTCTAGTGGTAAATTTATTGCTCAGATCAACAACAAACACTTGAAAGTCCCATTCTCACTGACTATTGCATGTGATGGCCGCATGGTAGTGTGCGACTCAGGGGACAAGTCAGTCAAGGTCCTTTCCTCCGACGGGACAGAATTATTACAGACCTTCAATGCTCCAGACTGTGACGACTCCCCATGGGAGGCTGTTTGTCACCAAGACATGTTCTTCGTGTCTTACCCCACAGCCGGTTGTGTTAAAACATTTAACAATGTCGGGGACTTTCTTTACGATATTGGGAAAAGACAACTGATTGAGCCCCGTGGACTTGATGTCGACGCCTTTGGCAATTTGATTGTTTGCGACGCAAAAAACAAGACTTTGAAAATTTTCAAACTGGAGGGAAAATTTCTAAATGGGATTCACCACAACCTGCTCGACTGCCCTTGGTCTATTGCTGTCAGCCCAAGCAGTCCATTGTTTCTCATAGCTGATCCGGTCAAAAAAAGGGTCTTATTCTTTTCGTAACTGCAAATATCTAACGTTCTTAATAAACAATTACCTTTTTACCTTTTGAAATCACTTCAATTAATCGTCCGACAAAAAACTGATTTTGAATGCCTTTGCTCTCTGTCATTAGCCTGCGAAAAATGAAGCCTTATTCTGGTTTTTGTTCCAAAGAGAAAGCCAAAACTGAAATCCTCCTTCGTTCTCATGCGTTTCCTTCATCGGCCGAAAAAAGTTTGAACCGTTCAAACGGCGAAGGATGTCCAATCATTTACCCTGATCAAGATCCCACTTTGATTCCTTGTTGAACGCGGATAAACCTTATTTTTTAGCTTTTAATTATCTCTAAGAATGAATACTCTTCATTTTTAATTGTTTCATTGTACCGAGTGTAAAAAAATTCGTTTCCCTATGTATTGAGTAAAGGGATATGTGATATGACGCGTACCTTAATGATCTGAAATCCATTTTTCTAGTAGGCGAGGCATTTTATAAAACGGAAAGAAAAATTCCAAGGACTATGTTTTAAAGATGACGAAACTCAGTTTGATAGGCTCAGTTAAACGTAGCGTTAAAGTACCGTTTAGAGGGCTAATCTAAGAGAACATTGCCGGTGTTCTCATCGTTATTTCGATTTCGTATTTGAGCGATTTAAAAGTTGAAAAAAGAGACAGAAAGTGAGTTACTTCTTAGCCCCATCTGGAGCGCCTACGGTCGAATACCAATAGCCCGAACCTTCGAGTGAAATTCAAGAAGAATAGCTATATATCTGATGGGGTTTTAAGCGCTTTTCAATGCTTAGTTTCATTATTACAATAAATAAAAGAAACAATTTGGAGAATATAAGTTTGTTTAAACGGTTAAGAATGTATGAAAGTCATATATTTGAACTGCGGATAAAGACGTGAATGAAAGTGATCCTCGCAGTAATGTGCACTACTTAAGCAGTAGTGAAAATAAGGCCTGAAAAAAAATTCAGGCCTGTACGGGATTTGAACCCATGACCTCTGCGATACCGGTGCAGCGCTCTACCGACTGAGCTAACAAGCCAACTGGGAGCTAAATAAACCCGTGAAGTGATGAAATAAACGGTTAAGAATATATGAAAGTCATATATTTGAACTGCGGATAAAGATATAAGATAAGTTTGTTTCCTGAACGCAGATAAAAGGGCTACCAATTTTCAATAAAATTATTTGAAGGGATACCTTTCGGGTAAAAAAACATGATGATTTTCCTGGTCCATTAACATGATTCCTTGTCAGATTTAAGTAAGGCATAAGCCACAGCCACCCTTTTTGTGTTTGTGTTCCTTTTTTCTCCTTTTATTTTGCTGCACGTTCCTTAAATTTATCATGAAATTTTTGAAATGAATTCGAAACTGAAAAGGACAGAGTAGGATGAAAAGGGTGATGTAACATTGTATAATTTTGATACCTTTTTTCAAGATTTGCATAACACAACTTTTGAAAATTCTCACGTTTTCACGGGCCGAGATCCATTTTCAACGAGCCAGATGGTAAACGAGAAGGGGACTTGACATCGTTACAATTGACTCAGAAGGAGAACAGTAATGCTATCATGAAATCGATGAAATCAAAGTGACAGTTCGGAGTCCGACGGGAATAGTCCTCAGCAGGAAGACTGATAGCTGGGTGCCAGGTGGGACATACAGGGTAAGGTACACACCAGCATGTGATGGAGAACATGAAGTGACAGTTTTAGTTAATAATGAACCGCTTTCTGGTAGTCTGTGGAACGTAAGCGTGACGCCGCATAACCATAATTTCTTTCATTACTTTGGATCACCAGGTAAAGCACGGAAAAATTTCAAATAACCCTGCGCTGTTGCAGTAGACAAAAACAAAATGACGATAGCAATAGCAGATCGAAAGGAACAAAGAGTGCAACTGCATGATTTTTTGTAATTCTGAGCATCTTACAGACCTCGGTGAGAAGGGTTCAGCGGCTATCAGACTAACAAACCCCACCTCTGTCGCATTCACCCAATCTGGAGACGTCATTGTCATTGCCTCTGGTACCATGTTTTGCTTACCTGTAAGTGGTAATTTTCGGCTTGGGTGTATTAACAACAAAAAACTCAAGCATCCGTTTTCATTGAGTGTAACCAGCAATGGCCGCCTCCTGGTGTGCGATAGCGGTGACAAGTCAGTCAAGGTCCTCTCCCCTGATGGGACAGAATTGTTACAGTCCTTCAGTGCTCCAGACTGTGATAGCTCCGCCCCGTGGAAGGCTGTTTGTCATCAAGACATGTTCTTTGTGTCTTACCCCGAAGCTCGTTGTGTTAAAACATTTAATAAGGACAGGGATTTTCTTTATGATATTGGCGAAGAGAATGCACGTGAAGGACACTTGAGTCAGCCTCGTGGACACCTTTAACAATCTAGTGGTTTGTGACGAGAAAAAAAAGACGTTGAATGTCTTCAAACTGAATGGAATATTTTTAAACACAGCCACTGAAAATAATGTCCTCAGCTGTCCTTCGTCTATTGCTGCCCTCTCAGCTAATGAATCCCCATGGCTTATCATTGCTGATTCCAGGAAAAAATGTGTCATAATGTTTGACTAACTGACATAATCAATTTTTTATTTGAATTTGAAGTGTTCTGATTGGTTCATTCAATCTTGTTTATGATTACCCCATGAACTTTAAATTGACGATACAAGGTAAATGACTTTACCGGGTTTCGTTAAGTTGATTTTATTTCTTTTTACGGATAGAGCACTTTTCAATAGAACGTACTTGAGCAAGTTTAAAAGCGACGTGTTCGACTTGGTCTATTGCTGCCGGCCGAAGCACTTGATGGTTTGTCGTCGTTGATCCCAACAAAAAGGAGGATACCCAGTCATTGACTCTGAACAAAATCTCACTTCACTTCCTTTTCAAACCCAGATAAACCATAAGCTGTAGCTATTATTCTAAAATGATAGTCGTTTAAATTAATCGAAGGGTGGCATATGCGCTTTGCTATAAGAAAGGAGAAAGGAATAAGTGTTTTTCCAGGCCCGTAACTTGATTATGTGGATGCCATATTTCTATTAACTAAAGGAAATATTTTGTACTTACTAGTCGAGAGCTATGGCCATTTGCAGTCAGTCAGTCATATTTAAAACGAGAGGAAATACCAAGAATATTTAGAAGCTGCTGAAAGTCAATTTAATTATATCGGCTCAGGTCAACACCACTACAAAGTACATTTGTAGAAAGGTGGAAATTTTAGAGAGGTTAAAAGTTGATCATTTAATCCGCACTAAACTTTCTTGTAAGAGTAATTTTAAAGATAAAAAAAAGACAGAATTATTTTCCAGTGAGTTGCATTTGCTGTTACAAAGAGTAGCTCTGACTCAGACTCCCATCGTTTTTGTAACTCGGCTTCTAACAAGCATGGACGTGTTGTTATTTGACGTCGCCTACAAAAACAAAAAAAGAGCTGTGTCGGATGACTTTTCATATCAGCTAAGGTCTATAACCAATTTTCGTTTCAGTATTTTAGTAAATAAAATAAATTAATATAAGAACATGACCTTTTTCCCTAAATGTGGATGAAGGACAAACCAATTTCCGATCAAAGTACATGGAAGTGATACCTTTCTAGTCAAAAATGTTTAATAACGATGTAAAATTACAGCCTAAGATGTGAAAGACGAATTTTTGCTGCCCTTTTTAATCAACCCGCTCTGTGTACTTAAGAATCAGTTTTTGGAGTTTCAACCTTCGGCAAGTCTGGCCGTGAGTCTTCATACTTGATGAGAAATTTGTAGACTGTTAAGTTGGAGAACTGAGGTTTATGTGGTTCGTCTCTACCTATAAATAGAAACGCCCATGGCTGTCATGTGTTGTGGTAAAGTCTATAATGTTTCCCTCAAGTATTTCATGTGATAGATTAAACACATGTACTGAGAGCTTGAGATTTCTTTGTATTTAATCACAGTTAAGATTACAGATTTCTTACTTTAACATTACACTTACACCAATAGCTTAGGGTCATTCTGATGTAAGCTTGTTGATCATTCACTCAGTACTATTTGGGTTTTAAATCACTGTTGTGCAATTGACAAAACCTTAAGTGGCTAAAAATGTTTGGGCATTTTATCGATACCAACTTCAAGGAAACATATAGAAATTGTTTTAGAATTTTTTTAAAGCTCTCCAACGAGTTTCCATCTCTCCACTTAAAAAAAAAAAAACAGCAGGATTTTTGTTTCTGCTCTGACTTTTGTTATTGTTTTCATCTTTCCTAAATGAAACGTATTTGTCTAGAAATGCATACTATGGGATGTCCTTTCGTATATCTTCCACACTAAAGCGTCCCAAAGGGTTGATGGAAGCGACAGCGTGCGACACGTTTCGTAATCGTTTTCAAAATCCCCTTTAATTATCCCAAGAGAAAGAGAGCGTCTATAACAAAAGTGATGCGTCTGGGAAAGTCACAACTCGAGGTAAATGAAGTATCTAAAAGTATACGAAGAGCAATAAGAATTGATATTTGTAAGCTATGTGATGTCGGTTAACAGGCAGATTGGAAAGTTTTCCTAAAATGATCCTATAAATGCAATTTCAGGTAAAGTTTTCATCAAAAATTAGATCCCATGGGTTCATTGGTAAAAGGTTATAGTTTAGATTATGACTCAGAGGTAGCTGAAGCTGGACGTAAAGTGGAGTTTGACATTTCTATGACTGATACCGAGGGCTAACGCTGCACAAGTGATACGATGAGATTCAAGTGAAATTTTTCAGGGAAAGGACGTCGCCCTTGAGGTTGATAACAAGGATTCAAAAGGGACATATACCGTTACGTAATCGGTGGACAAGATCGCCTTATCGGTTGATTTATGGCATGCCAGGTTTATGGAGTGCCTAATTTTTCCATCTAATTGAAATGCAAGGTAGTTATTGGTATGACGAATTCCGTCAACTCAAAAACTGCTGTTTACCCGTATGGCAAAAAGTTAAATTGTTTTGACATCGAAAACAAAGTTTAGGGCGTTTCATTACAGGCTTACTCATGCCCTCTCTAAATATGGGCTAAGGCTGGTTAGCATGACAAATGATTGCTTAGAGATCACTTTTTGAAACAAGCCAATCAGCAGACTGGGACATGACGTGATCCACAGCTTGAACCAGTGACAGGGAGGTAGTGAAATCTCGCCCGCCGCGTGGTAAAACTCATGGATACAGTGTTATGTTAGAAAGTAAATCATGTGCGGGACACGCACAGTTTTAATCCTTAAGTTTCATTCGAATTTGTTAAATTTCTCTCTTTAAATTCTTTCGTTAACAAGAGGAAGTAGAGGCTCACGCAACAGCCGTCGCTCTTCGATAAAAGAAGGCTTTGTGAAACGCATCCTGCGTCGTGAATCGGCGATCTCTTACACAGTGACTAACTTCCTGTATGTGGAGCGGACTGGAGAGCTTCGAAGTTACGATTCTGGAGTTTGACTGCTGACAAAAGGTTGTTCAAACCCCATTGACATATCTTTTATATTTCAATGCTATAGTTAGATGCCTCGGTCTCACTTAGGTAAATCTAGAGGTTTAATCCTGTTGTGAAACTCGGTCAGCTGCTGTAAACCGAATCGCTATGTTGCTTCATAAAAATGCATGTGATCAGTTTTTCTCACCATGCTCTTCCTCCTCACTCATCCTTGAGGTCCTGTGCATTTCTATGGGGCTGATGTCCATAGTTGCTCGGTTTTCAGAAATTTTTCTGGATTCAAATCTATAACCCGTAATCAAGCCGCGATGATATTACGTTTATATTGTAGTTCACCGATCAGTTCTAATTGAGTGACCTTCCACATGTTGCACCACCATAGACGGTGTTTTGTCTTTTTTGTTAGCAACATTCACAAGGTAAATTGTTCAAGCTTTACCTAATTTTGCTTTGATTTATTACATTTTGACCAGTATCACTTCGTTTGTAACATAATGCTGTGAGGTGAATAGATAGGATTACATCTCTAGTTGTTTTATTTTTTATGTCATTTAAATGGTTACTTTCACTATCCAGTGGCTGTAATGTTCCTTGAGTACTTTGCTGTTTTATCATATTCAACATGTGTCGATATCACACATCAATTCTATAACTGATTTGTAAGCTCTTTATTTAACATGATTATGTTCTATAAATGTACATATCGATTGCATTGCGCAACCTTATTTCTAAGAACTAACTGGCTTCAGCTGTTTAGAGATTATATTGAGACGCTATGATTTTTGTTATACACTCGTTCGCACTGCTCATGAGCCATTTTTTCCGAGGCAAAGGAACATGAAGTTACGGTCATTTGAATTCATGATAGTGCCTTAAGCAAGAGATGTGACTCCTTTACGATAAATGTTGTTCTGTTATCAGCGTTACATAAGAGACGTGATCCCTAAACGTACTTACGACTCTTGCGTAATTCCGTATCACATCGAACATTTCCCTCAGTGTTCGCAAAGAGACAAAGAAGAATTACAAACTAAACAATTTGGGTTATCTCTCGGCGTTGGCTACTGCAGAAAGATGAGTGCATTATTCTGTGCGTCAAATGATTGGGCATCAATGGTGCTTTAAATGAGCGACCATAAGCCACGAAATGTATGAGCAATTCGTGCGATCTCTTTTCTCACTGTGCATTAGATTTAATAAGAAAATATGGTTGGTCAAGAGCATAAATCAATAAACTTGACACGATAACCCAATGTTGGTTTACCATGTCGAGTTCAAAGTCTGCCTAGTTTCCAGGCTCCTCGTCCAAGTAATGTTCGCAGACTTTTGCGAACTCAGAGAGGAGTGTCCTCTTTGGCAGATTGTTTAAAAAATTTTATAATAAAACACTTATTGAATTCAGTCTTCGCATGATATCATAAACTATCAAACCTAGTGCTTGTGTTATCTGCCTCAGCTTTGGTTTCGACAGATGATTCAGACCTCATTATTTTTATTATCACTATTATAATTATTATTATTACCACTATTATTATAGTCATTAATATCATTATTATTATTATTATTATTATTATTTTTATTATTATTATTATTATTATATTCCAAACGAAACGCCGGCGAGCTTTATAAGCTCTAAGTGCACTTTACCCGAAACGCCTTGCAATGGTTTCGAAAATGTACGCATGTTTTCTTTGACTGACTGATCGTTTGAACGTTGATTGCAACAAACGACAAACGAACCAAACCTTATCAACCTCAAAGTATTTACAAAAAAAAAAGGTTTTATTCATCTTTAAAAGCTTGAATTTTGAGGTCGTGCAATACACAAATTCTGTTTTCCACTTTCTTGCACAAAGTTGTCATATAATGGTTCAAGGCTGCGAGCTATAAGCTCACTACAGACACGTCGTAGTCACGCCTGTAAACTTATGTACTCTTAGTGTCTTATAAAGACAGGGCTTCTTGATGACGGAAAGTGATGGACACGTTTTAAGTTACGTTTTACTGGCAATGTTAGAAAATTTAGTAGTTTTCACGTAAAGTGGCCACTTTTAAGAAGGGTCTAGTCAAGCAAGTTTAAGCGTTGAAATATTCTTTTTCTGTCCCAGGTTTTTTATGACTACCGCAGCACCGACAGGTTCCTCAACCAAGGAGACTACGAACTACGCTCGCTTGTGTCGTCTGCTAGTTGATGTTGGTACCCAGGCCCTCAGGGACGCATTTGATGCCATCCATCCACCGACAAATCTTCGCACAATTTCGATGGTCAATAAAACCACCTTACAGTCCCTGAGAACAAGAAAAGTTATAAACGCGACGCAATGGGGAATGCTTTTTCCAGCCATCCCTACTTCTGTTTCATCGGCCAATTTCGAAATCACACTTTTAATGATTCTGTTGCGAAACATATGCTGCTCACCTTCTCCCGCGGCAGGCTGGGATACACTTTCTGCTGCAACAGATGTGAGTCGTGAAGCTGATATAACTCGTGTTAAATATTATAGGAACTTTGTGTACGGTCATGCCGAATGCGCTTCAGTTGATGACTGAACGTTCAACATATATTGGGGTGACATAAGAGACACTCTGGTGAGACTTGGAGGGGAAAAGTACTAGGCAGCCATTGACAATCTTGAAACTGATTGCATGGACCCTGAAGTTGAAAAACACTGCAAAGAACTTCTCAGCCAATGGAAGAAGGATGAAAAGAACGTTAAAGATAAATTGGATGAAGTCATCAAAAAGCTGGATGATTTGAAAACATCAAGTTTGCCTCGAAAGAAGGAATCTGCGACCGAAGGTTAATGAAGCTTTAGTTTTACTACTTTTGCCTGTTCTAAGCCTGTATATGGCAATGGTCTACGATCTGTAACAACGTAAAAGGCCAACTGCAAAGAGAGGAAAGAGAAAAGAGTGTTTCGTTTAGTTTTACACCCCATTCACACCAGAGCTTTATGCATGTTTTCAAGTTGTTTTGTAAAACACGGTTTAATTAATTTTTTCATAGAAGCTACGTAAACACGTTTGGTTTTCGACTTCATACAAGTTATTGGCTACTTGAATCCTATAGAATATTCAGTTCTACAGTTCGCTGTTTCTGATTTTCTTTCTTTCGCTTAACTTCGCTTATATGTATACGTAGGTACTAGATATATATCACGAATTATATGCTTAATGCTAAGCTCAGGTTTGTTTCAAACATCGGCATTAACTTTTTGCTCATCGGGTTTTTATTCAAGTAGAAAATGTTCACAGTATAGTTTTACTGGATGGATACATGCGCTGTCTTTATCCCAGCAAGGCACGTGCAAAGCCCTTCAAAATGCTGACCTCTTCCCCAAATACACATGTTAACGGTTGCGTTATTTGATTTCAGTCAGTTTTAAGCTATTTTAGTTTTTTGAATGAGTCAAATTTATCAATTTATTTCGAAATGGTTCTTTTACACTCGAATTGGTTTGCTTACAAAAAACTCACAGCTTTATGATATTTCAAAATCACTCATAACTTCGAATTTTTTATTTGCATATTCATAAGGTGAGTCCACTGTGCTGGAGCGGCTGTTGGAGAACTCTGCGATGTGTAGAGAAAAAGGCCACGAGACCGAACCTCTGGATCGCTATTGTAACAACTGTAAAGTTTCCATTTGCGACAGGTGTGGAGAGACTCGTCACACTCATCACACCAAAGTTAGTATCCAAGAGGCTGCTGAGGAAGAGAAACTGATGTTGGAAGAGACTGTTGAGCAAGTGAAAATGCAAATTGTTGACCTTGGGATAAAAATGAAAACAACGACGGAACTGTTTACAGTAAGTAAGAAAAAATAGCCAAAGCTCGTAAGAATGTTTGGACAACAGTTGAAGAACTCATTCGTGTATTGAAGGGGCATGAAAGGACCGTGTTGACCGAGTTAGACGTTATTGAAAAAGCACAACAGAGAGATTATTCAACACAGCTAGAACACTTGCAGGCATCTGTGAACGAATTAAAAAGCTCTGTGAAGAATTGCAAGGAAGTCTTACGAAAAAACGTCTGCGTCGAAACTCTACAAGCACAACATGATGAAATTGAAAGGTGTAAAGGTGTCCTAAAAGCACTGAAAGAGGAGATTTATAAGCCATGTCACCTTCGCTATCAGACAGATGAGGAGTACCACAAGAGGTTGACAGGTTCTGCTCCTGGTGAAGTTCTTGTTAGTAAAACCGATCCCTTAAGGTCATTTTTAGAATGGAATGACTCGGGAAAAGCTGAAGCTGGAAAAAGGAAAAGCTTTGACATCATAACAATTGATTCAGATGGGGAAAAGTGCTTCCAGGAAATCGATGAGATCAAAGTGAGAGTTCAGAGTCCAACGGGAATGGATCTCGACCTCAAGTTATATTACCGGTCACGTTGGGGATATAGTTATGCTTTCAAACCACTCTGTGATGGAGAACATGAGATGACAGTTTCAGTAAACGATCAACCGCTTCCTGGTACTGCTAAGAGGCTCCTTGTGGCTCCATACTTGTACCCATTAGCCATTCGATTCCAGCCACGTAGAAAAGCTTCGCAATTCAAAAAACCCTGTGCTGTTGCAATAGACAATAGGACAGGTAATTGGGTAGTACTTGATCAAAAGAAAAAAAGGATGCGAATTTTTGAGTCTCTTGAGCACGATCCTAAATAACTTGGTCAGAGTGAAGTAGTCTCGTTGTGTCAAAACATTTAACAACGACGGAGGCTTTCTTTATGATATTGGCGATGGAAATCAGGTAAAGGACAATTGAGTAAGCCTCGTGGACTTGATGTCGACGCCTTTGGCCATTTGATTGTTTGTGACGCAGAAAAAAAGAGTTTGAACTTTTTCAAACAGGAGGGCAAGTTTTTAAAGGGGATCGAAACAACACGCTCGACTGCCCATGGTCTATTGCTGTCAACCCAAGCACTCGATTGCCATTGTTTATCATGGCTGATCCGGTCGAAAAAAGCGTCATATTCTTTTGGTAACGTTCGTAATGAACAATTACCTTTTTGCCTTTTAAAATCACTTCAGTTAATAGTCCGACACAAAACTGACTTAGCCTTATTGTGGTTTTTGTTCCAAAGAGAAAGCCAAAACTGAAATCCACCTACCTTTTCACGCGTTTCCTTCATAGGCCGAAAACAAGTTTGAACCCTTCAAACGGCGTTCAAATGGCAGAGGATTTACCCTGATCAAGATCCCGCTTTGATTCCTTGTTAAACCCAGAAAAACCTTATTTTTTTAGCTTCTAATTATCTCTAAGAATGAATATTCTTCATTTTTAAATGTTTAAGTGTACCGAGTGAAAAAAAACTCGTCCCACTATAAAGTTGAGAAAAAGGGATATGTGATATGACCCGTACCTTAATAATCTGAAATCCATTTTTCTAGAAACTGTAGATATTCTTTTGTTTCGTTGTGGTCGAGAGCTATTATAGGTGAGCCACTTTTATGAAACGGAAAGTAGAATTCCAAGGACTTTTTTTTAAATATGTCAAAACTCAGAATGATAGGCTCATTTAAAGGTAACGTTAAAGTACCGTTTGGAGAGCTAGTCTAGGAGAACATTGTAGGTGTTCTTCTCATCGGTATTTCGATTTCGTATTTGAAAAATTTAAAAGAAGAAAAAGGGACAGAAAGTGAGTTACTTCTTAGCCCTATCAGGAGCACCTACAGTCGAATCCCGATAACTTGAACCTTCGAGTGAAACTGAAGAAGAATAGCTGTATATCTGATAAGGTTTTAGGCATTTTTCAATGTTTAATTTTAGTCTTACGATTGTTTCCTGAACGCAAATAAAAGGGCTACCAATTTCCAAAAAACTTTTATGGAAGAGATACCTCTCTAATAAAAAACCATGATGATTTTCCTGGTCCAATAACATGATTCCTTGTCAGAATTAAGTAAGGCATAAGCCACAGCCACTCTTTTTGTGTTTGTGTTCCTTTTTTCTCTTTTTTCTTTTTTTGCTGCACGTTCCTTAAATTTACCATGAAATTTTTTAAATGAATTCAAAGCTAAAAAGAACATATTCACTTCTCAATTACAGAGTAGGATGATCTAAGGGTAATCTAACATTGTATAATTTTGATACCTTTTTTCAAGATTTGCGTAACACAATAACTTTTTAAAATTCTCACGTTTTCTCGTGCCGATATCCATTTCCAACGAGCCAGATGATAAACGAGAAGGGGACTTGTAAGAGGGTCTCAAAGGAGTTTAACCGTTAGCCGTCAAAGAGCCTAAATTTAATCGTCAACCGTCAAAAAAGCAGCTCAATATTATCCGTCAAAAACTTAAAAGTTCTTTCCGATCTTGATATTTTTCCCATTTTCGCTGCTTACCGCGAATAGTTGAAGATCTTTGAGGATATTTCAATCGGTAAACCAGTCTCCAGATTTCTATTTATATATTCACTTTATGTTCAAATTTGGTAATTTTCGCCTTAACTGACGGTTTGAAAATATTATGAAATTTAATTTTAATAGCTAATATTTAAAACGGCTAACTTCTTCGATAACTTACTCATTCTGTCCAGTGGCCACGCCACGCAGCGTTGTTCCTTTCCCTCAATTAGCACACCCCTACGCCGTTTGAAATTTTAAACATGAAACCTTCAGCGTCCTGCAATATGCTATGGACTTCGGTAGCATCTCGAAGGAGCCCCGTAATTGAATGACCAAGTCGGCAGCCAAGTGCGACACTTACCCTGGCCCTTAATACCCAGTGCCTCAATCTATAATGCACTTCCATTGTGTCCATTATAAGAAACTCCTGCCCACTGAGACAATTTCCAAAGGAAAGGAAAGTTGTCGTGAAAGAGTAGGTAGAGAGCTACAGACCAGTGAGCAGAGGCTCGAGGTTATCAGTAAGAACTTTATTCCAGAAGTTGTTTTAAATTGAATTTAAGCTTCCTTTGTTTACTAATTACCCGTGATCAAGTTTGCTTGCGTGACAAAGTAAAGCTTGGAGATCACTCACGAGCCAATCAGTGGACTAGTACTTAACTTGATATTGTGACCACGCAATCGATGGAGAGAATGACAGTGAAAGATCTTGAGACTTCTGTTCATCCAAAGGATAAGAATTTTTCATTCTCGTTAGTGAAAACCAGTGGCCACTCACCGATCGAATTAGCCCTTCTGAAGCCTGCAATCATCAGTAAGAGAGAAATCTCCTTCAGCAACAATTAATAACCTCGCCAACTTCCTGTTTGTGGATTGCTTACCGTGATTTTATCTAATTGTCGATTGGGATTTCTAGGTTTGTTTTTTTGTTTTTTAATGCCAATTTTCAATCTATTAATTCTACAACTCATGTTGTTGTCTAATATTTCAGTCTTGTATTCGCTTGGGTCTGTGCCATATCATACTTTATGTTCGATGGAGGTCTACATCTCCATCGGCATGACATTTCTAAATTGTAAATTGTCGACAGATTATTCAAATTAGTTCGTTGATAGTGTAAATCAAAGAGTGAGCCTCCCAAGTTTTATCCGCAGATCTCCGGGAACCCAGTTAACATTTACGAAAAAAAAACCAAAATCAGTGCCCATTCGAAATGGATTTATTTACAATTGTGTTTGATCATCGTTGATCATAGTCCTGAGAACAATCACTGCACGCAATTAGACACAACCGAATCAAATCGGTTGCCATTTTGTCGTTGAGAGTGCATCGCTTTACAAGTTTTCTCGCATTCGATGCAATTTTGGTAATTTTATTTCCAATTTTGCCGAAACGATGGAAACTCTGAATAGTAGTCATTTTATGATTATATTAGCATGAACAAGCACTGATCGTAAAACCAATACTATAGGATAGATTGTCGCGCCTTACTGGTTGAGTGATTTTGTTCAATTACCATATGTTTGATGTTTTTGCAAAATTCTTTAGGATTTTCCTTATTTAACTGCGTACAAAACTGACAGGAGGTAAAACTGTCGGACAGCTTCAAACATGAGAACCAAAATGACGACACTGAACGGGTTTGGTTGCTCATTTGAATTTTCTCCACATTCCCCTAAAAAATGATTTCAGTTACATGAAGTCCTCGCAGACGCTCAGGAACACGAAAGAAGCTTAAAAAGATTCTTTTCTGCCTCACATAGTCCATGGCTCATGCAGCGCCAACAGTTTCATCCACAAAGGAGACAACGAACTATGCTCGCCTATGTCGCCTGCTAGTTGATGCTGGTACCCAGGCCCTTAGAGACACATTCAATGCCATCCATCCACCAGCGAATCTTCAATCAGTTTTGGCAGCCAATAAAGCAACTATACAGCCGCTGAGAAAGAGAAAGGTTATCAACGCAACGCAATGGGGAAAGCTCTATCCTGTTATTCCATCCTCAGTGTCTTCCAGAGACTTTGATATCACACTTTTAATGGTTCTGCTTCGAAACCTGTGCGGCTTACCTTCTCCCGCGGCAGGCTGGGATACACTTCCTGCTGCAACAGATGTGAGTCTTGAATCTGATATCGCCCGAGTCAAATATTACAGAAACTCTGTGTACGGTCATGCTGAGTGTGCTTCAGTAGATGATGCGACGTTCAACACATGCTGGGGCAACATCCGGGACACTCTAGTGAGACTGGGTGGAGCGAAATACAAAGCAGCTATTGACGATCTTGAAACAGAGTGTATGGACCCTGAAGTTGAAGATCACTACAAAGAACTTCTCAGCCAATGGAAGAAAGACGAAGGCAATGTGAAAGATAAACTAGATGAGGTGATCGAAAAGTTAGTTGAATTGAAAACATCAAGCATGACTCAAAAAGAGAAACCTGAAATTGAAGGTTAGCATCTTTTAATGCTGTTTTTTTGTTTCTTTGATTTTGTTTGTTTGCGGGGTTTTTCTTCTTTCTTCGTTCTTTCGAGAATATATACTGATAATTTATCGATAAACACCGCCATAAAAGAAGAAAACTATCCTGGGGGGAAAAATTTTAAGAACAAAGTCTGGCCTGTTCAAAGTTTGTGAACCAGCTTTCGAGAGTCAGTCGTTGAGGATAGTAAGTGCTACAGGTCAGGCATTGCGCAGAGTCTCAGTCAATAGAGTGGTTCGTAAGTCGATGATGTTAAGCTATGTGGTTGTTGACACCACTAGTTATCGTCATTCGTTTGTGTTCAGTCAGTCTTGTTGTGAGGTTTCTGTCAGTCTCTCTGATGTAGGAGGCGTGGCAGTCTGAACTGTTGATCCCATAAATCGCTCCCTGTCTGTTCTTCGGTTCGTCCTTGTCTTTGACGTTTGTTAGTGACTGACACTGTGTAGTGATGGATTTGTAGACGACACAGATACTAAAGGGTTGTAGGACGGGTCAGATGGTTTCATACATGCCCTTTATGCCCAGCAGAGTCACTTTAGTCGTTACGCTATCGTTTGTTTTAGGAGTTACTGGAGATCAATGAGTGTTTCGTCGATTGAGGTCGTCGTTGTATTTTTTTTTTTTTTTTTAAACAATGCCAAAGAGTTTCTTCTCGTCGGATAAGGTGGCTGTCGTTTGCAAACTAGTTGCGTTCGGCTCGGCTTTGTGTGATGTTGGTCGACATCACTCTCTGAAAGGACAGAGAGGGTTTGGTCCGGCAATTTTCTCAATTTATCCACCCCGGTAAGTGATTATAGCATAGGGACTAGTAATACCGAACAAATCAGTAAAACAATACGGGGCAAAAATTCAAACCATGTAGCTATTGATAAGCGTGGCCTTCTTCTCGGGCCCGGATCTCCTAAGGTTCTTAACACTTACCCACATGTGTCTACCACATATGCCGAATTTGTTCTAACTACATATTAATTATTTATAATAATATACAGAGGAAAGTAACCTTCAGCTGAGACTTTTATTTCCTTGTTTTAACAGAAGGTAAACCACTTGTGTCGAAAGACCTGGAGAGCTCTGCCAAGTGTAAAAAGAGACATAACGAAACCGAGCCACTTGATTACTACTGCACGGACTGCAAAGTTTGCATTTGCGACGAGTGTGGGAAAACTCGTCACACTCATCACACTAAAGTGAGTATCCAACAGGCCACTGAGGAAGAAAAACTGAAGATGGTGGAGCTTGTGGAACAAGTTAAAATACAAATTACCGAGTTTGAGTCGAAAGTGGAAAGAATGACAAGACTATTTGCAATAAGCAAAGAAAAAATATCTGCAGCTCGTAGTTTAGCGCAGACAACTGCTGAAGAACTCATTTGCGCCTTAAAGGAGCACGAGAAGTGCGTTGTCAACGAGTTGGACGTCATTGAAAAAAGACAAGAAAGAGATTATGCAACTCAACTAGAAAGCATGCAAGCGTCTGTCAACGAATTGAAATGCTCTGTGGAAAATTGCGAGGACATCCTTCAAAGAGACGCCAGCTTTGAAACTCTACGCACACAAATTAATGACACTAAAAAATGTAAAAGAGTTCTGAAAGAAACAAAATTGGACATTTACGAACCCTGTCATGTACACTACCAATTATTTGAGGAGCACATTCGAGTAATGAAAGGTAGATCTCCTGGCGAACTACTGGATAGCAATACAGATCCTTCAAGGTCATATGTGAGAGATAATGACCTAAAACAACCTGAAGCTGGGCGAACAAAGGATTTTGACATCGTTACAATTGATTCAGAAGGAGAACAGTGCTATCATGAAATCGATGAAATCAAAGTGACAGTTCGGAGTCCGACGGGAATAGTCCTCGACAGCAAGACTGATAGCTGGGTGCCACGTGGGACATACAGGGTAAGGTACACACCAGCATGTGATGGAGAACATGAAGTGACAGTTTTAGTGAATAATGAACCACTTTCTGGTAGTCCGTGGAGCGTAAGCGTGACGCCGCATAAATATAGTTTCTTTCATTACTTTGGATCACCAGGTAAAGCACGCAAACAATTCAAAGAACCCTGTGCTGTTGCAGTAGACAAAAAC